CTCTGGATGACAACTGAGGAAATTTTTCTTTATTGAAAGCAATGCAAGGGCTTTTAGTCTTTCCGAATTTTAGTGCTTCTTAGAAAAGTTTACATTCTTTTCAATGTTGAAAAGCAGCGTTCTGCTTCTGATGTAGTCATGGAAACTCTCAAGAAAATTTTTATCAGTTTCGTAATTCCACTAAGAACATCATCTAGATTATTTTCGAAGATAAATTTCTGTAGCTCATTTAATTTGCAGTATTCATGGATATCAGACTTACAGTAGAATACTTTTAGTTCAGTTTCAAGCTTTTCTTTGTCAATCATTGGATATGCTTCAGTCTTCTGTAGAATGTTCATTCGTAAAACTAGCGAAGCATTTCTTGTTTAACAATTTAGAAGCTGCTAAGTGTTTAGTGGAAGAATATCTCTGCATTATATCAATACATAGTATAAAGTCACATATTTCCTTCTTCTATTCTTCTGCCATCGGTGTCTTTGGAAAATTCTCACAGTACTTTGAGTTTCTTAATTCTAAGATAGCAGTTTTGGAATTTGTTATATATTCGTTAACTTTAAACACACTAATTTCTCTGAATTGCATTTGATTGTATATTATTTCAACATGAGGCATCTGATAAAAAAGCTCTAACTAAAACTTGAAATTATCATCATTTAGATATTTTAAAATTCCTATTGCTTGTTTCATTTGTTGTTGTTCTGAATTTGACGTTGATTGAATTTCACTAAGGCAGTTTTTTAAAAGGTTGCAGATTTTCATGAACTCTGTTTATGGTCCGTATGATGAAGTTCCACCTTGTGGAAGAGTACCACATGCGCAGAGTAAAAAGAAATCACTTTTCAAACAACATGCCAGAATCTTGGCACTGCAAGAGCGACAGTGCTCTTCTCTCTGCCCGGCTCGCGTGCTGCTTTCTGTGTGTGCATGCGCAGAACAGCCAAACACCACATCGCTGGAACTGTGAAGCGCACAATTCCAAAGACTTTCGTACCTTTTTGACAAAATGGGGGATTGCTACTGACGTAAAGCTTAAGGATTATGTATTGTAAAAATATAAAGAAAGAATTAAAGACTAAAGGGCACATTATATTAAATATTAAAAATAATAATAAGTGGAAATTGAGGGTGCTGCAGTTCCACAGTGCTTATTACAAGCCGCCACTGGTTGAATCAGAAATTGATAGGCTTGGGAAAGAGGGTTGAAACTTCAGAATGGACAACACCAGTTCTGCCAATTGTTAAATCTGATGGTTCCATCAGGCTTTGTGCTGGTTATTCTCTGACTCTGAATCCTAATTTAGAAGTGCCACAGCATCCATTACCAAAACTCGAAGAAATATTTTCATGCCTTAATGGAGGTAAAAATTTCTCGAAACTTGATTTCAGTCATGCTTATCTACAAATGAAGGTGCATCCGGAAGCCAACGATTATTAACAATAAACACGCATAAGGGGCTGTATATTTGTAAACGCTTAATGTATGGATTAAATGCTGCCCCGCTATTTGGCAGTGCTATGTTGAGGGATTATTTCAGGGGATCGAAGGAATTAAAATTTTCATGGATGATGCTCGAGTGACAGGACTGGATGATGAGTCTCATTTGAAAGAATTGGATATATTTTTCAAAAAATGCAAAGAGCACGGCTTAAAATTAACGTAAATTTTTTCAAAATTAGATTAAATTTTTAGGGCATAAAATTGATGCCGATGGATTGCATAAAATGGATGAAAAGATTTCGGCAATTGCCCTATGCCAAAAGGCATGCAAGACATCAAAAGCTTTTTGGGATTAGTGAATTTTTATGCCAAATTTTGCCCTAATTTGGCAACTTTGGCACATCCCTTAAATAATTTAACAAAAAAAGATGTTAAATGGAGTTGGTCAAAAAAAACTGCCAAATCGCTTTTGAAAAAATTAAAAAAGGAAATTTGTTCAGACAGAGTTTTAATGCATTACGATCCCACATTACCGTTAATGCTAGCTACTGATGCATCTCCAGTAGGTCTTGGGGCAGTGCTCTCGCATGTTTTGTCTAATGGAACAGAAAGGCCTATAGCATTCTCATCGAGGACACTGACTAACACAGAGTAGAAATATGCCCAAATCGATAAAGAAGCACTGTCAGTTGTTTGGGCTGTCAAAAAGTTTTATCTATATCTAAAGGGCAAACGATTTTCTCTGGTGACAGATCATAAACTTTTAGTGGCTATTTTAAAATCGAAAAGAGGACTTCCTATCCTCACAGCCACCCAACTTTTATATTATGCACTGATATTGCAGGTATATCAGTTTGATATTGTGTATTGAAATACCAAGGAACACGGTAATGCTGACTGCCTGTCACGCCTGCCTCTTAAGTCCGAAGATTTAAGCATTAAGGATGATGTTGAAATATTCCAAATCTCCCAAATTTAAACTCTTCCGGTAACAGCTAGGGAGATAGCTCGGGAAATGCGAGCTGATTAAGAATTAAATCATCCTTATATGAAATTAAAATGTGGAGAAAGTTTGGAAGGTAGGGAAGCAGAGTACACCTTACAAGATGAGTGGTCAGAGGGTAGTTGTTCCGAAAAAACTCCGAGTTAAAATTCTCAAAGAGTTACACCAAGGACATTTAGGAATCGTTAAAACGAAGGCAATCGCCAGATCCTACATCTTTTGGAAGGGAATCTGCTGCAGTTAGTAGATATGCTCTGTGGAGATAGCTAAAAATCCTGTTTGTTTCTTACCAGTGGTCAGCAGCTATTTTTGTGGTGCACTAATATTAGTACTGCGGAAGTTTGAACACAAAATTAATTAATGCTAAATTAATTTTGTAGTAGTATTAAAATATTTAGTAATCCAGAAAAAAATTCATTTTTATGTCCATATATTCATACTGCTGATTTCTTGCATATTAGTCTTTATGACCTGAAGAGGGAACAAATTTTTTTGTCAGTGTTAAATTGTGAATAACAGTGAAAATTGAACAAAGTACTTCAATGTTTGACATTTAAGAGCAACTTTGTAATTCTAAATTCTTAATTGCCACAAGGACCAGTAGGCAAATATATTTGCACGTTGGCTAGATTTCAAAGGAAAATGCAAAACACGTCTTTTGGGGGGGGGGAGCACGCATGGAGATTATTTTGCTTTTGAATGGCATTCAAACTGTAATTTATGTTATGATTTTTCTCCGGTAATATATTTTCTTGAGTACATATGTATACACTTATAACTAATTTGTTGTATCAAATTTTGTTTAAGAAAGTCTTTTCCAGTAAAACTTATGAAAAATTTCTCAAAATTAATTAGATTTGGATTTGCAAATAATTTTATGCTAAAATAAAACTTCCCAGATGATATTTTTCTCAATGGGGGACAATGCCTCTTGAAGACTGCCAATTCCTTTCGTACTTTGCTGGCTCTGACCCTAATCGTTCACAGACGCCTTGGACGAAAATAGCCCTTTCGAGAGATAGCATTGATTGAGAGAAAGAATTTTTTTTCGTGTAAGCATTCTGACTTTCCTTTTTCTCAAACTTCAGACATTATGTGGAAATGGGCTGTAAAAGATACAATTTGTGAATTATGAAATTTTTGAGTAATAAAATTGTAAAAAGTGTTACATATATATTATTAGATAAAATAAAAAAAAGTAGCAAATACAGATAAAAGCATTCAAAATATAATGAAAATGTTTAATTTATTTTGAAATAAGCTTATTTCTTTTTTATCGATTTCATATTTGAAAGACTGTTAGAAGTAATAAGTAAATAAATAAATGAAAGTAAAAGTTTAGGAAAGGGAAAAAATAAGAATTAATCAATCAGACAAAAGTTCAATATTAAAGCAAATTTTAAATGCGACAATTTCCCTGTTAATTCCTAAACTTAAAAAGTAGACAGATTTCTGTATTATTTCACCTATCATCATTCAGTTAAAAAAAAAAAAAAAAAAAAACACTGCCAGAGATAAGTAAGGCTGAAATATTTGTAAAAATGGGAATAATTTTTAAAGCTGCACAAACAGAAGAATACTATGCATACACATTAGGTTTTTTCCTTTGCCACCTGAGGCAAAGAATGCGAAAATTCAGTATGCTTTCGCTGGGATTCGAACCACGAGATATTCCAAGTGCTGGCTGGATGTATTTCCATTTATACCGATGGACATATAAGGCGTAATGCCATAATTCCTTTTGTTTTTTTCCCCACTTAAATGGCAAATGAGGTAATTTGTGAGACCCAGTCGACCTAATTTATGTGAATTATCGAGTACCACATTTTATTTCAGGTTCACTGTAAGCACTTTAAGTTTCAGACAGGAGGCTTTTATATTCTGCAGCAGGAAACAGGAAAAATGAGTCAGTTCTTCTCAGGGTTGAAACAAAGGATCTTCTAATATCTAGCTGGATTAACAGTAGCTATGTATTGCATTACTAGACCATGCAAGGAGGAATTTGCTGTAATTGCTATAATTAAAAGTGTATTTAGTTGAAATTCTAAACTGTCAATTGCTTAAAACCAATGTTAGTACTAAAATTAAATTAATTTCCTTATATATTAAAAAAAATTGAGTTATAAAAAATTTATTTGAATGCCAAAGTTATAATAAAAATTTCAACTTTTACAGTCTTGCTTGATGAAGAGGACAGGGTTAATCTTCAGTTAGGGTACAAGTAGAATGATTTTGTAATTAAAAGTATTTACATGGTGATAATCAATTGAGTATGGTCTTACTGCCATAATATCTAATGTTTCTAAAATCATCTGTGTGCTGCTAATTGAAGCACAGTTTTATGAATAAGCTGAGGAAAGTTTTTCTGAGAACCAATATTTCTGTTAACCTTATTTTTTCCAAATTTAAAGCTTTTGCAGTTTTGTTGTCTCATTAACTGCAAATTTCACTATTGACACATAAGATGTTTTCTGGATTTTTAGTCTTCTGCTGTATTTTGTAACATAAATTTTTATTTTATTAGGGATACAATATATATATATTATTTTTCCATAGAATTTCAAAAAGCCTCAACAAGCAGAAATATTAGTGTGCGAGAAAATGTAAATAGAGACAATCCAAGTGATAACCATCCTGCCCCTTCACCTGAAACAGGTATATTATTTCTATTAAAATATCTATGAGCTTTTCTTTTTTGGTATGATGTTTATATGTGCAGTCAGAATAAAGGATCCCAAATGGATAGTAAAATGAATTTTTTTCGTGATGTTTGTACATAGGCGTGTATCTTTTAAAATCCAAAAATGATTAGCTCCAGAATTTAGGATTAAATAATTTTTAGAATTTTATATTTATTCATGAATTTGATACTTGCACTTGATTTACATATGCTCTCAGAATTTAAATGATATTGTAGATTAGTTCGCAACAACATTAATCTTTTGTTTGCATTTATTTAAATTAACTTTAAATTTGCTTTTAATTTGCTTTTTTCGAATAGAGAATGTTTGTTAAATTCAAATTTCATTCCTTGCAGCAATAGCGCAAGAGAATTATTTAAAATTAAATTTAACTTTACTTTATTCTTTTGAAGCATACATATATATATGTATATGTATGTGTGTGTCAAGGCTAGTAAAATCCAAAAAGGTTTGTGCATAAGAAGGAAAACTGGTTGAATGGTCAACAACATCATGACATCATAAGGAGGACTCTGTCGCTTTTTCTCGTACTACGAGGGTAGAAACTATGATAGGGGCTAGAAACGAATTTACGCTTATTTGACTGATCTTATTTGCTAGGTGTTTACATTAAAGTGTTGAGGAAAGTTATTAACTAAATCATTATTTCACATGTATAAATATCTAATAAACATTTTGTATCAACATGCATACACTTGCATACATACAACTTTTGAAATATATATTTAAAACTAAAGATATCAAATAAATAAATAAATAAATTATAAATTTGCATTGTACATATCCTTATTCCTTCGACCTATTTATACTTAAGCAGATAATATCTAAGACAGTATATAAAGATATCTTATAAAAATAAATTTTGAATGATTTGAACCAAGGGCAAATTAAGTTCAAAATCAAAACACAAATTATGTGCTGTAAATTGCATTAATTTAATGGCATATTTATTAAATTTTAAACATAATCTAAGCTAATTCAAACATCATACTGAATAATGAACTGGCACATAAGAAATTTGAAATGCTATTGTAAAAAAAAAAAAAAAATAGATTTTTGCATTTGCACATTTTTTCTATCTGACAATTCGCTATTTCAGAATGAAAAATATTTTTATTTATTTAGTTTACATTATGAAGATGCATTATATATATTAGTAAGATATATGCATTTATATATATAAATATATAAAAGTATTATGAGATGAATGTTTAAAAATAAAAATATATCAGGTAATTTTTTTTTTATTTTTATTTATTTATTTATTTATTTATTTATTTTATTAAAAGAAACACAACAAGTTCCCCATGTACCACATAGTATCACATGGGGCTTACAGAAGTAAGTATGAAACACAATACAAAATAAACAGAAGAGAAAAATGAAATAAAATTAAGGATGATTACAAAGTTTTACAATGAATTGACAAAAAGTGTCAAAAGCACTTGTCTCGGAAATAAATTGGTAAAACTCTGGAGGCCAGTTAATATTAAAATTTTTCAGTCCCAGTTTCAAGACTTTTCTTTTGCTCTCATATTTAGGACATAGAAGAAGCACATGTTCAACATTCTCCTCTCCACAGAGGCCACAGTCACATACAGACTCAGGACTCAACTTAAATCTGTTCAAATAACTTTTAAAATTCCCATGTCCAGCAAGAAACTGGGTTAATTTGTAATTTGTGAAGAAATGATGGCATGACAATCTCATTTTAATAGAAGGGGAAAATCTCCTAGTTAGGCTCCCTTTATTTGAATTAATGAATTCGTGATTCCATGACTCCACAATGCCTTCATACATGACCTTCTTATAAAAGGAATTAGGAATATTGACAAAAGTGTCAATTTCTCGCTTAATCGCAGTCTTAGCAAGGAAATCGGCTCGTTCTTTCCCAACAACACCTGTATGACCACGAACAAACGAAAATGAAACCGAAATATTTTTATCCTTTAGATTTTTCAGTTCTTTTTTAATCTCGATAATGATATTATTAGAAGAAGAAATACATTTTAAGATCTCCAAGGATGAAAGGGAATCAGTACAAATGAGGTAGTCTGAAACAGCACTGTTTTGTTTAGAGACCCATTTGATGGCGAAGTTTAAGCACAAAAGTTCAGCTATGAAAACGGTACATTCATCTCTGATTCTAAATTGAAAGTGCTCAAATTCAATACCATTTTTGAAGACAACAAATGCGAGACCAACCTTGCCATCAGTATAGCAAGTTACAGGCGAATCATCTACGATTTTATTGCTAAACTGAATAAAATTAACAGCATTTCTTTCTGAAGGATGAGGGAGATCAGATAGAGGTAAAATACAATCATACTGAGAGACAGTAGAAGCAGAAATATTTTCCTTATAAGCAATAGAATGAAGAATGGCAATGTCAATTGGAGGAAAGCCAGAAATTGCATAAACAGACTCATAGCTTACAGTACGATATCCACATATGACCCGCAGAAGTATCCGCCTTTGAACACATCGTAAATATCTATAATTTATCTTCTTCTTGAGCGATATACTCCAGACTCTAGAGCCTTACATAATGAAGGGTGCAATTCCTTGTTTATAAATGAGCGAATGAACGTTGTAATTAATACCGTATGTGTTGCTTGCAATACGAACTATAAAACGCATCATCGTCTTCTTCGTCCATCCTGGCATTCCTTTACTTCGTAGCACTACTCAAAGAAGTAAACAAATCGTCAAGCTAGGCTTAACTATGCTGAAATCTTGCAAGAGCCGTAATATTAACAATACTTCTTTCAATTTGAAATAAATTGCACAAATATAAAGCAGAGCACTTACACAAATAAAATTATACACAATAAATAGTTTACACACATTAATTACCGCAAAACCACGCTGTAATTTGTGACATTTTTCTGATACATAAGTTAAGTGCTGTTTCCAAGAAAATTTACAGTCAAGAAAAACCCCAAGATATTTTATTTGCTTTACCACAGTCAAAGGGGTGCCATTGAGAGATAACTGAAATGCATCATAACAGATGTTTCGCTTTTCAATAATCATAACCCTGGTTTTATCAGGATTAAAATCTAATTTAAAACCTTTTGACCAGTTTGAGGCAAAATTTAAAGTCTCTTGTGCCTGTAAAAAAGTAGCAGAAAGGTCCCTACTCTGGAAGCAAAACAAAACATCATCCGCAAAGGCTATAGTATCACAACAAGCAAGATTTTCCAGTTTTAATAGGAGATCATTAATAATAATATTCCAAAATATAGGTCCTGAAACAGAGCCCTGAGGGCAACCCCTTTCAAGGTGATGGATTGCAGAAGCTGAACCCAATTGCAGTTTGGCCACCCGTTCATTTAAAAAATCAGCAGCAAGTGAAAAAATATTCATTGAAGATTTTAAAAGGAACATTTGAGGTGTCTCGTAAGAACGTAGAGAGACAAAATTCAAATTCAATCATCATGTGATCAGAAAGGGATTCTTTTTCAGACAGCCGCCAACTCGAAACATCCTGGAGAAGATCTGAACCAATAACAGTAACATCAATATAACTAGAACCCTGATTTGCCTGAAACGTAGGTCCATAATCTTCATTAATAACAAATAGGTTGTTGGCAGAAATAAATTCACTCAGTTTATCTCCACGAGAGTCTGAATAAGGACTAAACCATAATTTAGATTTGCCATTAGAGTACAACCAGTCGATTAAGATTTTTGGCCAAAAAGACTTGACTAATTTTATGAAGATCTAAGTCAATGTTTCTTGAGGGTTCAAAATAGTATGAAAAAAGAGTGAGCACAGTTGAGCTAACAGTAATATCCAAAATGACCATATTATAATCCGTATTTTTATAATCAAGAAATGTTGATAAATCACGTGATTGAATGATGATTGCCGCCTTTACATTGTCAGAATTAGGATCACAATAAAGTCTATAAGTGCCAGGATATCCTGGAAGAAAATTCTTGTAATAATGAGGTTCCTGAACCAAAGCACAGTCAATATCATCAGCTTCCATATTTAAAATTAGCTGTTGTGTCACAGATTTGGATTTATGAAGATTTAACTGCACACACTTTAGAACGCGTCTAGCCAATCTAGCCATAATCAATTCGAGATTGAATGTTCTTTCTCATAAATTCATGACTAGGACAGCATTCTGAAAAGGGCTTGTGATTAACATTCACTTTTTTATAGCTTTTATTTGTTTTATGATTGAAACAGATGCAATTTATACAAGCTACAGCATTCCTATTCAAAAAATCCTTTGCCTTGTGTTCTTCAGAACAGTTAAAATAGGCTGTTCGCTCACGACATTCATCAGCACGATGGTTGTACCACTTAAAACATCTATTGATGATAATAAAATCGTCAATTTCACATATACTCCAATTAATTTTCAACCTGGCTTGATTCAAAATACGTTTACGAACCATGGGGTGCGTTTCAATCACAACCTGCTTCGTGAACTGGAAGGTTTTTAAAGTAAAACGAACACTACATATACTTCTGTTTTCATCAGATTCAACAACTTCAGGATTTTGTTCAAAAATCACTTTCAGAAGATCTTCATTAGGTATTTCATTTGGTACATTTTTTACAAGTAAAACAGGATTCATCTTTTTTGGCAAGGACGTGTTCAATTCTGGAGACTTTTCATTAATCTCGGCTTGAAGTCGATTCCAATCATTTTCTGTTAAACACTTAACCAAGACTTTATCTTTTCCAATATTTTTTAAAGTATATACACCTAACTTAGCTTCTAATGGATTAATTTTTAGTTTAATAACTTTCTTAACATCGTCAGAAGAGCAGTTTTCAAAGTCTACAATTAAACAACAATCTGAAGAAATCAAGGACTTTTCATTAATCCTTGTAACATCAGATGGCACCACCACACTAGCATAACTAGGTCTTTGTTTCACATTGTTCACAGGAGATGGCAGCACAGCACTAGCATACGTTGGTTTTAC